GCGGTGCATTTGATGTCAATATTATTGTCTTATAGACTGTTTTCAATGGTATTCTTTGATATGCTTTTAGCACTTGTTCGCTGACCTCAGTATAGCTCACAACTAACTTATATAACAAATTATTGTGTTTTTATCGCATTGTAAACGATTGGATCAGACTTTTACACAAACACAATACGAATTGTGGGATCGACTCGTATTTCTAGTCTTTACCATTCATTGCTCACATCTTTTTTAATATAATATTTATATACATTTAGTTATGAAATGTATTTTAATTGCATTGCCGTCTGTGATATTTGAAGATCCGATTACTAAATCTCAATATCAGTGATATATCAGTGCTCTTGAAAAAAGTTTGTTTATATTTCGGAACTAAACGTTGCAATCAATGACAATATCGTGAAAATATTTTACCGAGAATTAAGTTTTACAAAAATATATTGATTTAAAAAATGCAAGAAAAAGGTGTAGAGATAATGAAGAAGCCATTAAAGCCATCAAACAATTCACGTCATATGAGTTCGAAGATTGGCGTCAATTCCAGTCTAAACATAACTAACTCTAAAACTAGAGGTAAAATAACATTATTTTCATTTTGATGTTAACTATTATTTGCCATTCAATTGACAACATATAACAGGAAACTAAAAGGTTGTCCATTGATGTGGACTTATATTTTAGGGGATATATAATTACAGCAATTATTTTATTTATTGCGAGCCTTTCAGTCGTTTGATTAGTTGTTTCAAACGACTCTTCGCTCGGAGCCATTCCTCTCACAATTTGTCACAAATATCTCATTTTAACTGAAATAATATAATATAATACTGAAACTGAATATAATATTCAATTCACAATCCATTTCTCGTTTCACTCTATTTTTAGTCATGAATTAATCGCTAGAATTAAGACTTGTGTTTCATTCAAAAAATATGCATTCATTATAAAAATTTTACTAAAACTATACTAAAAGCCTAACTCAAGTGAAGCGCGTGTCCAATGCCTTCACAATTGATATAATCAAATATTTAAGGCTCTTATTTAAGCTAAATTCAACTCAAATGTCTAACATCTGGCGGCCATAAGCTTGGGAGTGAGTCTCTCTCTCTCTCTCTCTCTCTCTCTCTCTCTCTCATCTTTCTGTGGCTTTTTTGGTCTTTTAAATGGCTCATCAACTGGTAGCAGTTGTAGCCCTAACACCAGCCCTAACATTACTGTCATGTACTGCACTGGCTATACATTAAAGCCCGAAAGTGCCATAGATTGTAGATTTTGAGCAAAAAACTTAACGGCTCACAGATGTAAGACGTGGAGCACTGATAGAGACTGTTGTCTCACTAAACCAGTGCTACATTAGTAGTGCACTACACAGTACTCCACTGCTCCTCAAGATCTCTACCAATTTATTACTTTCTCTCCACTAATGAACTATTTTGACAAACTTTCAAAGACTTGTAACACACGTTAAGACACTATTATTTTTTAATCATATTTTCGTTTCAAAACATAATTATCTCCATTTGGCTTCTATTTTGTTGTTTTCGAAACGAAAGTTACAATTTTCTATTCGTAATGAAAATAACAGTTTTTTCTCAAAATATGAATTTATGTTCTCAGATGTAATCCATGTCAGTGTTTGAGACATTTTTCATCGCTTCTATTGTAATGTTTTTTTTTGTAGTGAAGGCCTATTTTTTCTTTATTTATTCTGATTGCATGGACTGTGTGTGCAGTATATATGTATATACGCTAAGAATCGGAAGGTTTTTTCTCACGGTAGCGGTTGGTTATCCCCTTCAGAGCTGATGTGAAATTTTCTTCAAAGCACTGCAGGGCTAAGAGAAGCTCGAGATATATACCGACCCAAGAGAGTCACTGAGAGAGCGAGAGAGTGGGGACACAAACACAGATAAGGGGAAAGTGTAGTACTTTTAGGGGCTTTTTTGATGGCGAGTGACTGTGAATTTGTTGGTCGCGTATTAGAGTCCTAGTATCGGATCCTCCATCCGGTTTTCATTCATAAAAATGATTTTTCTTCTAGTCTTATGCCCTGAAGGCAGCACAGGTTGAGAGCTGTAGTACTACAACACAAAAAAACTTTTCATTCATTCATTCATAGCTGTATTTCATTCACAAACTCTACGTCTTGTATCCCAATCCTATTGGTCTATTGGTTGCCATCAAATGGTTGGCCGATGGCGTGGGAGCGATGCCAACGATGCGAGTGTGACACGAATCCACACTCACATCTCTCTCTCTCTCTCTCTCTCTCTCTCTCTGGTATTCACTTTTCTTTCCAATACTATCCTCTCTTCAAAAGCTCTTATTCATCACAATCAGACAGCTATTCTCAACACAACGCCAACCAAACAATAATAGCAATCCTAACAACAAATAAATATATGTCTCTCTCTCTCTCTCTCTCTCTCTCTCTCCTATTGATGATTATATGTAGTCAACAATGATTGCCGTGGCTTTGGACCCATGGTTTGGGTTATCGTTGGGCCAATGCATGGGAAAAACAGGTGAAATGGCTGTGAGGGACGGCTACGCCCTAACGGTATGGCCTTCAGCGGTGCCGACATATCATCTGCACTGATATAACGTAAAACTATGGCACCGATTGGCGACACAAATCATTTTTGCATTTATGTGACTCTCATAATAATAATATTCCTCTTTCTTTGAGTGCCTTTTCATTGAGTCTTTTAATATTAAACTCACTCTCAATTGAAAGCCATTAATTAGATTTAGTTTTCTCTTTGTTTGTTGTTATTGTTATAAAGGATATATTGATTACATTTTACTCTTCTATGTTTTTATTAATGAAATAAATTAAACACTTAATTACTCTAACCTTAACCTTGTCTTCAGTTTATACTCTCTTTTAATCATTTAAAATAAATTAAGAGAAAAAAGGAAAGAATTTTCACATTTTCTCATATTATGAATTCAGTTTTGATTGATATCAAAGAGTCATTAAATTGCTTTCCAAGTCATACAAAATCTCATGAAATTATATGATTTTATAGATTGTTGTGAAAAAATGAAAATTCATTCAGTTTTATCAATACTTAATGCATGTAATACTTGCTTAGAGTACTATCTGATTGATCATTACATGTGAGCCTCTATTCAATGAATTTCTTTTTACATGACTTTTTTTTGATAAATTTGGTGTAAAAATAAGAGCTTTTGAAGAGAGGATAGTATTGGAAAGAAAAGTGAATACCAGAGAGAGAGAGAGAGAGAGAGACATATATTTATTTGTTGTTAGGATTGCTATTATTGTTTGGTTGGCGTTGTGTTGAGAATAGCTGTCTGATTGTGATGCCGAGTGCCGCCCATCCCATGCCATCCCTACATGTTTGACCAGTTTTAGTCATATTATATAATGAACCTTTGGTTGTGAGCGAAACACTTGATGTATTGCTCATTATATTGTTTCTCTGACTCTCTGTTGGTCTATAGTGTATAATATAGTCGACTCTCTTAGTTGTGTTAATGCCATGAATGACAGCTATTGGATGTGATTCTTGACAAACAAGTGGAGCCATTGTGTGTATTGTGTCATTTGGATGGTAGTGTCCTTTCGTGATCACATCAATACAATTACATTCCATAAGTGACTCTAAAAACTGCAATTTCTAATGGCATGCAATACCAGACAATAGTCTTATCTCTATCTCTATTGAACAGCCAATAAGAGCCGAATCTGTGATTTTTGCCAATCATTTATATTTTTATCGTTAATTTCTTTCCTATCATTACTGAAATGATTAATGAGCTCACAGTAGAAGACAATCAAAAAACATCACTAAAACAATAATAAAAATATTTTCAAAAATCTTGACATCTTTTCAAAAGTTGTTATTTTGAATTCATATCATTAACTCATGGAAAACGCAAAAAATATATGAAACATCTCTTGACTTTTGTATATAATTTTTCTCTCAAACCTTAACGACAAAAAAATTGCTCGAAATTGACTTTTTTAAAACAGTTGGATATTATCACACTCTCGGGCTATACTCTGGTTGTATATACTCTTATGATATACACTCCCGATGTCTGACTTGACTTTGGAGTTGAGTTCGTTTGCCATCTGTTGTTGTGACCACTTTTGCACTCAAACTCCCAAATGCTTTCATAATTAGCTGTGTTTCAAATGTTGGATATATTTTCATACACTGATTGAACTCATTTACAAATGAATTATATTTAAAACTAATTATGTCTCGAAATTATCATTAAACATGACATTTAATTGCATTCATTTATTTTGTTTTACTTAATATAATAATTAATTTGCAAATATTTTTTAGCCTAACTATTCGTTGCATTTATTAGGGCCTTATTCTCGATATAATTGTTATTTTAAAATTGGTTCATAAAATGCGATAATAAATGCTTAAACTTAATACAAAGTGTATTATTAATAAACTTAATTGACTTAACATTAGCTTACATTTCACTTTACTTTTAATTACAAGTTTGCGAAAACTGCCATTTTATCTATTAATCTGACCTTTCATTGCATAAAATATAAATTTGTATAATATTTACAATTGATTTCTATCTCAACACTTCCTATTATTTGTCTTACATTTGTTTATATAATTTAAACAAAATATTAATTAAATAAATGAAAATCTTGATAAAGAAAACAATTTCTTAATTATTGAACTAATGATTTAATGAACTTTACATTGAAATTATTTTGTGATTAAAATACCTTAAAATTTGGTTCGCAAATAAGGTTTGCCATATATTAATTGATCGGAAAATTTTTAATTAATTAATTAGAAAATCTAGAATTTTATAATTAAATGCATGAATTATTAATATCCATATTTTGTGAACTTAATAAAACTGTATTTGCAGAACATTTGATTCACTTTCTCTTAAAAGTTACCCCAACCAAAAGTTGTTAAATGTTATGCAAAAAAATAAACCAAATATAATAAGCTTTCATGTTATCTATTAAAGTCTAACTCATGTTAATCGGTCTGTAATTCAAATTAATGTCAATTAAATGTATAAAATGTTATGCAATTTATTCAGGACTATAGAAGTAGTGTATGTAAAAGTAATAATCACTCAAGTAAATAAAACTTTTATTAATATTTTTTGATTAACTTTTTCATATATTCTCTGTTGAATACTAAGAACTGTTTTGATATTACATTTAAAATCAATAGTTATTGGGAATTCACAAGCATTTAATTTTTGTGTTATAAACTGATTTAGCACTAAAACACAGTGTATTTGTCGTTTACATACTTTATATTATAGTAAAAAGAGTCAAATGTTCATTATTTGAGGCATTCGTTTGACGACTAACTAAGAAATATGAGTTTTCCTCTCATTCATCATCTCTTATAATCATTTCTAACATAAATAGAAACTAATCTTTGCTTACATTATAATCACAAACACAACCGAAAATAAGTGGTGAATAACTGGAGAACACGAGAAGTTAATCCTAAAATGAAAGACATATTTTTTAGTTAATTTCCAACAGAAATCATTTAAATTAAGATTAATGTATGAATAATGCATTAATCAAAAGCAATCAAATACTAATTGAATGAATGAATTGATGGGAAAGACAGTCGAGGGATGAGAGCGCCTGTAAAGAGGGATCGTTTAAGTGTATTCTCAGTATTGCTGTGAAGTCACCTCTGCTCTCAACCACTTCACACATACACTACTTTCTGATTGAATTTTACTATAAGTTTTACTATAAGATAACTTGTGTTTGTTTTGTTGCCAATTATATTGAGATTAAATGTCATAAATTTATAGATAATAAAAGTACATTAAATGAATGAAAATGTTTGAATCTAATGTATATGATGTATATCTATGTATCAGATCTTCCAACACAAGTGCCTCCACTGACGCCGGGGACGAACCAGAAGATGACACAAGCCTTGGCCGCCAGTTTCAACAGTTGGGAGAAAGAGAGAGAATTATTAAACATTCCTAAAGGTTAGTGTTGTGTTGGATGTGTTGTCCCAGTGTTTCAACGCAATTACGGGCACCAAACAAATGGGCGCAACAATTGTCGTGTTGTCGAGTGTTTGTGTTAAATCCATTTATAGAGTGCTCCGTAATGTGCGATAGAAAAGCCAATACAATATATTTATACAACAGGTGTATGTGATCTGAATTTGTTATAATAATGATTTGGTTGTATTGTTAGATCCCCGCCAATGGACAGAAGTAGACGTCACTCATTGGCTTAATTGGGCGATCAGAGAGTTCTGTCTCGAAGGCGTAAATCCGCATAATTTCTCCGCAATGAAAGGCAAAGACGTGTGCGCTCTCGGGAAGGACTCATTCCTCGCCTTAACGCCGCCATTCATGGGAGACATCCTTTGGGAACACTTGGATATACTTCAAAAAGGTATTGATTGGTCGCTAAATTTGCTCTCCTTTTATGACTTTATTATTTTGTTTTGTTGCGAGAAATCTAATTTCTTTTGACATGAATTTTTGTGAACAAAAAAAGTTTTGTTGACTTTTTAAAAATGCATTTAAACTAAATGTCAAACTATTATTTGATATTAATTAAAGCAAATATTGACTATTAATTGATTTGTTATATAAACTGATATTAGATGTGTAGAGATGTAGTGATAGGTTGACGAACTGATTCGCAGGAAACCATAGATTTTTATCAACAAAATACCACAAATCTATTAATTCGCTCACATCTGGGATACAAAACTTTTTTTTAAATGTTTTTGATTTTTTATCGCTCGCAAATAAATTAGTCATAAAATGTGCACAAAAATCTTTATTTCAAATACATTCTCTCTCTCTCTCTCTCTCTCTCTCTCTCTCTCTCTCTCTCNATGTATTGACTAATCAGCAAATTATAACGAATTGGAAACACAAGTGCAATGAATTGTCGCGTAAATGGGATTGTGTTTTGCATCACAAGTCATCTTCTCTCTCTCTCTCTCTCTCTCTCTATTTACAACAAAAAGAGATAAAAGTTAATATAAATTTCAAATATAATGATATTTTCAGACAAAAGAATAAATTATAAAAATAAGTATAAGAGAAAAGCGCAGAATTGGAGTCTAGGACCTAATATACCTGACATGAGCTGACAATTAAAATAATGACAATTCTTTTGGGCTTTGCTTATAATTTTGTTAATAAATTTTTGTGTATAAAGTGTACGAAACAGGTTTACGAGTTATAATAATTTATCACATTATATAACATGAGACTAAATGCCTGTATATATAATACTATATTTATGTGATGGTAACTTATAATACCATTTATACAGAATTTATACAGAATTGTAGAGTATATATACTGTGGAGATATATTGTGTATTCATATACTTGTATATAAAGGCGTATTCATGTATTACACGGAGCGTGAAGATGGTATGAATAGTGTATGAAAAGTATTGTATTAAATATATTATTTAATGTATTGGTTGTGCTCCAGCTCTTCCATTCACTCTAACCAATAGTCTTCCGTTCGCATCACTATTGTTAACATCCGCTGCAGAGTTGATGTGATGTTCATAATGATTATGAATTGAAAATAGTGTAGAGAGAGAGAGAGAGAGAGAGAGAAGATGACTTGTGATGCAAAACACAATCCCATTTACGCGACAATTCATTGCACTTGTGTTTCCAATTCGTTATAATTTGCTGATTAGTCAATACATCCAATGCCTCCCATTCCTCCCCTAAATCTACTTTTAATTTAATATTTACTCGTATTTTCATAATATATCGCAATTTTCAATCCCAATGCCATTAGTTTATAAACTGTTAATTCCGTCGGACGTTCAGTCTATTAGGCATTCATTATAGCTATAGTATTACGAAACAAGTGCTTCACCCGTAATAGTGTTGAGATTTTTATTAAATTAGTGTTTATATATTGAAAAATATTGTTTCGACAGGTAGTGGACATTGCATTACATCCTCATTGCTATTATATTACAATATATCCGTCCGATTGAATTTCGGTACAATTTAACAATAGATTAATTAAATGAAAGGGAAGTCTATTAATGAATTTCTCAAATTCCGACCCAAAAACAACAAATTCTCTTATTTTCACTTCAATTATACAATTAGTTTGAGTTTCGCTATGAATGCGTTCACAACAAGTGCTCTCACAAAATGATTGCTCCGAAAGTTTTATCTCTTTTGTTTTACTCTCGTTATGCTTTACTTCTTCACTCTATACTCACAATTATGCCTCTATTTTCATATCAAATCTCTCATAACTATATGAAAACTGTGTTCACTTATGAATTGAGCGATAGATATAAATTTCTAAAGCAATTGACTGTTAGTTTTTGGTGTTTTGAATGTAATAATTGACACTTTTATTGTTGATGATTAGCTGAGATCGATAACTCTCGGACGACATCGCTGGAGAACGTGCCGTCCAACTACTTCGAGCCCTGTATGCCTGACTTCAACGAATTCTTCCAACAGTCGGGAGGCGCCGGCTATCCATTGCCCGAACATAAGGCAACACCAGTGATGAATGGGGGCAGTAGTGGGCCGTCATCTTCGGGTGCCTCGAGCTCTACCAACGGCTCATTCACTGACGGTAAGGGCTCTTCATTTGTTATATTAATATTTATTATCATTTAATTTCATTGACACTCATTGTGTCTGTATTTCTCGTTGCCTTTTGAATCTCATTTATAAGTTATTAGTGGAAAGTAATTCTCATATTTGGTCTCTCATTGGATCAAATGCTTTAACAATATTTAACAATAATAACAACATTGAGTGGTTATGGCGAGGACTGGTTCTGTAAATTATTAGTCTGGGCTGTCATACGCTCCTAACCCTCAATTGATTCAAACTATCAATTAAAGCCTCACTATATTAACGTCGAGTTAGTATTTTTTCAGTACTTATTATCCAAATTCATTTGGCAATTGTTATTCAAAAATAAGCATTTGAGGGGTCGATACCAGTGAGAGAGGGGAGTGAGTGAGAGGGAGATTGACTGAGAGAGCACACAGACTCGTGGGAAGGTTTTTAGGTCTTGTTTTGTGTTCAATCCAATTATTTATCATTAAAATTATTAATGCAATCATAAGAAACAATAAAAATAAATTCTCTATTTTTTATATATTTTTTCTCGTCAGTCATTAATTCAGATAATTTTAATTGAATGACATTTTCATATATTAGTTGATCTGAACCTTGAATTCAATTTATCGATTAATTTATAATCGAATTAAAAGTTATTTAACTAATAATTTCATGACATGTTTGAACGGTATAGACAGGCAATGAATGAGCGAAACCGAACGGGTGTTCAGTATATTAGGTCAGCAGTCAGTGCTTTGCCAAACCTTTACCTCCAGAGCGCCGGAAGTTAACTGTTATAACATTATTGTCAGAAATGCCACAAATTATAAGCACTTCTCTTTCAAGACTCGAAGCGTATAGTCTTCGGTACAAAGCGTTTCAATTGAAAGCGAATCTCAAGTCTGAAAGCAAAGGAAATGTATTCACTAATCATTTGTCTACTAATCCATAAATTAAACTAATCTTTTAGTCTTTTTTGTAATTCACTGATGATTTGTTTATTTGACAGAAGTTTATAATTTTATATATTTTTCGAAACACTAAACATATTTTGCGGAAATATAAAGGAATTTTTGCATTACTTTTGTTTCTCTTATATAAAGAAATTCTTTATGAATCTCAAAATATTATAAATTATAATACATATTGTTTTAAAATAAACAAATGTTAGATATATTTATAGTAAGAATATTATGTATTTATAGCGCAGGAAACTCGATATAAATGTATCTAATTTTTTAAGCAACAATCAAATAGTTATATAAAAACTATTAAGCAATTGAATATGTTTTGGTAATTGTATTCATTAAAGTAGAGCAAGACTTGAGCGGATGCTTTCAAATAGTACTCAAGTTATTCACAAAATATTTATTTCATACAATTTTCTATTTCATAATAGCTATTAAAGAATTTTTCTCTACATTTATTTCTATCTTGATTTGAAGCAAATGTTTGAATTTATAATAAAATTGTGAAACAATTAGCTGTTAATATGTTTTTGAGTGAAAAACTTTCTCTATTCATGAAAATTTATAGAATATTATCATTTCAATGCTTTGGGCCATAAAAATAACATAAAAGAGAGATTGCATTAAATAGTGGCAAATATTCTGCTCAGACTTATTAGCGCTTTTGTCTTCTTATGAAGTTATGATGTTATAAATGAATGTCAGAATATATACCCCATTATATCCATTATTTTGATGATAGCCTTGATTTCGTTCCACTAATTGTTGTCAGAAAGAGAAGAAAAACTAGAAATGTTGTGAAACTTAGGCATAAAAAGGCATTCGCGTCGACAATAGCCCAACATCTGCCGCCGTAGCGATGGTGCGCCTGTCCTGCGCTCTCACAAACCTACTGAACCCCTGTATAAGCTATTGTGTGTGTTTTTTAAGCCCTCTCTTTCTGGCCGACTGTCTCTCTCTCTCCTCCTCCTCCAACCATTCCTAAAGTGTTTCTCATCTATGAATTTCTCTATGCAATCGCATTTCACTCCTCAATACTGTTCCCATGAGTGACAAGCATTTGTTCAAAATATATACACATATAAAAAATCTAATATTTATGAAGTATTTTGTGTATTTCTACCACAAAAAACTCCCATTGATTTCTTTTTAAAACTTTGTTACATGTATTGATCCGACTCTACAGTTGTCTTTGCGTAATAAATCGTTTTGTTTTAAAGTCTCTCACTCTTTAAAAAGCTAGTGAACAATGTTTTTAACAAAAGAGTAATTTAATATCGCTTTAAAATAAACTCCTTTACACTTTACAAGTTGTGCAAAACTTTGGTATTCAAAACAAATTATTGGTTATTCTTTCAAAACCTATTTAAAGTTTTGGTTTTATATTCATTTGAAACAATCGATTCTTAATATATCGACAACACTTTGGTTGTAGAAAATTATATATTCAATACAAGTAAGAAATATACTTTTATTTCATTTATAAAATATTCTTATATTTAATATAATTTTTATAAAAGAATAATTTAATTTTGATGTAAAACATTTCGATTATTGCATAAGTATTTTAAATAAGCTTATGATAGAAATATATAATTGTCGAGTATATGAATATAACTGGATTAGTGTTATATAAAAAATGTTGACCACCTGTCCAATGGTTGGCTGATCTTACGAATCGCTCTTACGAGAGAAAGCTTACGGCAATAGACTTCCTGTCCGGTGATTGTAAGGGAATCTAGATTTACATACTGTATATGTGAGGTGTGTGTCAGCCCTAACAGTCCTAACGCCCTAACTGTGCATTTCCTGTCCGCACAACAGTTCGTGATTTAACTCATATTTAAACACAACTTCCGTTCTTTTTTATTCCTTACTTTAAATAACAGTACATTTTGTTTGCCATAAAAAGTGAGTCTTTAGGTAAAAGTGAATACAAAAAGACTGCGGTTTTCATAATGTATTCAATGAGTTGACAATAATTCATGATTTGATAAATTTACTCAAAATTTACTGGTATTTGTGTGCCATTTGTTGGACTTTATTCTTGACATCCATTTGAGAATTAAACGATAAAATTGAAAATAATGAACGAAAACTTATTCCGAGTGGAAAATTAATCAAAAGATTAGTTACTAATTGACTGAAAGACTAATGAAACCATGAATTATAAAAAGCGATAAAATTTTCTTTATGATCATTGAGTTAATGTTGAGTTCAATTTAAAGTGAATTTTGATTAAAACTATCAGAAAATCTTGAAAGAAGTGAACATTAGGTGTGCGCCGGGCGTCGGGTCTGTGTATGGTTTGCCGTTTGCCATCTGCTATTGTATTCTTCAATAGACTCGCATATTATAGACCAAAACACAGGCGCTAAACAACATTTGGCTCTTGTTTTTACGGTCAACCGCTTCTCTTGACTATAGGTTCCACTCAATCGTTGCCTTAACATTGAATTACATTCAAATGATTGCTTAATATCTCATTGAAGGCCTTATTCTGTATATGAGATAACAATAACGATATAACAAATACTTTTGCATCAGTGTTGAGATGCTATGAAACGACGAGTTTATCTAATCGACTAAATTCTTTGATTTGAATCCTAGGATCCGCTTATCTTCATATCACGGAATCAATGCTTACTCTAAGCGATTGTCACGAAGACCTGGGACTGAGTCACACTCGGTATGAAGACAACCACGACTACGGACTGGAGGCCCAGACGCCATATCTGGACGGCTCTGAGTTCTACCCGACGTCTAATATGTTGAACGAAAGCAAATATTCGCCACAATATACCACAAACAAGCCCTTCAACAACACTCGGGGTCCGAATCGTCTCTTTGGTAATTATATGATGATTAGTGCATATAATGCATGTGCGAGGGAAGACTTAATTGGCATGTGTTCACACTCTTTGTCTCTACTCTCTCTTGACTTAACTCTTCTTTCCATCTCTTATATAATTAACAATACTTTCTTTTCAACCAAAACTATTTTCAACGCATTTTTCTCAAATTGTTTGTCTTAATGCCTAAACACAGGCCGATATCCGACTCATGACATGAACACATTGATTGACTATCCGTCTCATCAATACGAGCCGCCCCTCCAAACGGTTCCCTCATCTGTTCCGCCGACGCCATCGCCAGAGCAATGGCCCACAGAATTGAGTCCTCATAGCAATAGCGGTACACCAAATGGCATGACGTCGAGCGCACACCACAACCCACAGCCCGGTCCACATCATCCACAACAACAGTCTCTTCATCTCTCACATCATCCGCACAATACATACACTCCGTTGCATCACAACAGAGACCACCGGGCGTTGACTCACTTGACACAAATGCATAGTCCAAGTACTCAACACCAAACCCATCAGACACTTCTCCAAAGTCAGACCATCGATGGAAAGCCTGTCATTCAGGCCGCTGTTCTCGCAGGTAATCATACCTTTCCCAACACTGGTAATATTCGTTCTCTCTCTCTCTCTCTCTCTCGCACACACATACACACACTTATACTGTACTGTAAGCCCCAATTTAGACTACTAGTGCGAACCGCACAGACAAACACCAATTAGTGGCGGAAACTCAGTAACACTTGAAATACCGCCGCCTTATATGAACCAAATGTTTCTTATTATAGAAACAGTGATTTGCTTTTGAGTCCTTATTTTTGAGTCTTGATTTTGTTTACACAAAAAATTATTTACACTTTCTGTGCACCTGTTATCTCATCACTATTTTCAATAACGCCTTCACCATTAATTGTACGCAAACTTAACAAATATATTATTTAATTGGACAGGGAGTGGACCGATCCAATTGTGGCAGTTTCTGCTGGAACTGTTAACTGACAAGAACTGTCAAAACTTCATATCATGGACGGGTGACGGCTGGGAATTCAAACTCACAGATCCCGATGAAGTGGCCCGTCGTTGGGGTGTTAGGTATGGCATCACTTGTTGTGTTTAAATTAATTGATCACTAATTTTTTGTATTTTGTTTTGCATTAATAGAAAAAACAAACCAAAAATGAATTACGAGAAGTTGAGTCGAGGACTGCGTTATTATTACGATAAGAATATAATACATAAAACTGCGGGAAAGCGTTATGTGTATCGGTTTGTCTGCGATCTGCAGACACTGTTAGGCTATAGTCCCGAAGAACTGCACGCAATGGTTGATCTCAAACTCGAGAAGAAAGACGACGACTAATGTTTAGACACAATGTTTTAAAACAAATATATTGTTTAAAACAGCAAATTATTATATATGTTAACAACTGTTCTGTACTGACAAGTCTTTGCGCCCCTCTTCTGGTCACAAGTCATTCAATACAATACATTCACAATCGGAAGCATAATATTTAAACACTTAATGCATTTCAAGACACTATTGTTTTATTTGACCACTTCTTTCTGACCAACACTTTGAATGAATTGAGAAATTAATGATTATATTATTTATACCATTAATTAATAATACAGTTGTTTAGTCGCAGACATTTGAAGACATATTCATATATTAAAGACTAGTCTATAAATTTGAAAATCCAAACCGAAACCGATGATTGAATTTGTATTAAAACAATGAAATGTCAAAACAGAGCCGACATTCAAACCAAAGAATTCGACCGCAAATTCATTTTTATCAATCGAAGACATCATCTCTTATATTGTCATCGATTTCATAACCAAAACCGATACAAAAACACCTGAAAAACATGATAATAATTTGTCAGTGCTTTACGTCAAACATATATGAAATACTTGTGATTCATTTATTTGTTCATTATTTCCATAACTTCTCTCTTGACTCTCCACTCAATCAGTTGTAGCGGTGTTTGGGATATAAAAACGAGTGTAAATCCAGTGATTATGCAATTAATTGATTAACGAAAATTAATTGTCCATTTAAATAGTCTTCACGTCTATCTCTCTCTCTCATTACAATAATTGCCTTAGAATTTAAACCAAATTTTATAACCAAAAGTAAAGTTTTCAAAGAATCAGTGCCTTATATATATTTATTACAATAACGCAATCAAATCAATTTAATCGTGTTTTGATAGTTTAAATTAAGGCTGAGTTTAATATAAAAGTCTATTACAACCCCAACCGAGTGCTCAAAATTATTTCCAAATGCTTTTTAGTTTCATTATTGCTAATAATATTCACATTTTTGACAAATGCTCTCTCCTATCATGTTGTCCTAAAATGGTTTAAATTTGAGTTTTAAAATATTTTATGTAAATCTTATTAATAATTGAAATGTATGTCTCAATAGTTTTTTCCTGTTTTTATATACTATACATATTTTTAGTCATTTTTAACATTAATTATGATTTACAGTATAAATACAATTAAAATATGTGTTTAGCGCTGACTTACAGAAACACTGTATAATAGCTCAATATATCATTCATTTCTTAATTATTATTATTATTTTAAATATAAAACAAAAAAGATTTTTATATAATTATATAATTAAAAACGAATACATAAATAAAAATGATTACAATTTTTAAAATCTCATTTGATATAAAAGAATAGAAAATATTTTCTATTAATGTATAAAATAATTAAATGAATTTTAAAACAAATTAAAATATTTTATTATATTATTATTAATTATAAGAACAAAAATTTTATGTAAGTTTGAAATATAAAAATATTGTGCATTAGAAATACGATTAAAATTTAATAAATTGAACCAATTTTTAGTGCCTTATATATTATAAACAAAATAAAAATTGAGTTTTTAAATAATAATTTATTACGAATTTTTTATTGTATTTATTCCAGTATTTCTCTCTCGTATTCATTATATAAATTTGTAATTTGAAAACTAATCAATAGTTTTTAACATTTTTGTAATTGTTATCAAAAATAAGGTAAATTAAAAGTTTTATCATTAGAATCAATACTCTAATCATTATTTCAAATTCAATCATCACTTTATATTACAATTCGTTTTAATACTATTAGTATTCAAAATAATTTTGTAAACAAAAAGTCATCAAAAGCTGGCAAAAAGTGTCATTAATTTATATCAATATTTTGAATATTTAAATAAAACAACAATAAAATCAGGAAAATAAATGACAAAATAAATAACACTTGTTTTGAAAACTATACACAAAATACATTATACAGTAAATAATAGCAATTATTAGATCCAACTATTTTTCTATATACAGACAATAGATTCAAATAAGAAATATTAAAAACAGATGTTTAACAATAAGAATATGACAAATAATTATTACATTAAAACAATTGACTATTTATTAATTGGAAGAATATATTAATAAGAAATCATTGAGAAAAGTGTAGACAAAACATAACGATTGGGATTCAACTGGACTGAAGGGACTCCCGAGTGGACGACCTTTGGGTCACTTTAAACAGCATTTGTCTTAAGTGAGTATTTTGTAGTTTAAGATTATATATCAAATCCGCCTGTTTTTCCAGCAAATCCTCCAAATAGGACGACGGCCTGAGAGATGCAAACATATTGTTAACAATATTATCATACAATTCACGTCATAATCGATTCCATACCTGACACCGATTTCGTTAAGTCCGGCCGAAGTGACCGATCGCTGCGGGTCTTCGACGCAGAAAATGTCGGGCGGATTGCGGTCTTTGCGGAACCGGATCTCGTGGTACAACCATTTGCCCAGAAATGGTGTTATAATCAATACGGATGTCGTTATTATGATTTGTTCAAAATTAATATCTTTTAAATGTATTTTAGGGCCAATTTTGACGTCCTTTTGATCGTAGATATAGAGAATTGTGGTCAACAGGAGAAGCAATGCATTGGTTTTATGCAATATAAACGATGGGATCAGTGATAGGGTTTTGACCAATTGGTGGTGTTTGTAATAACCCAACACTCGTAGTCTTCGGTAATAGACTCGTCTCATGTAATACCGGATCAATAGTATGAGAAGCCATAACAGTATATGACAATAGATTGTCACCGAATAGGGGCTAAAGAACTTATCACTGGATTCGCCGCCGAAACCGATATATTTCTCGACACTTTTGGCGTTCAAAGGGACCAAAAAACTGATTAATATGATTGAGATCTGTTTGGGAAAGACATACAAGACATTAGTGTTAGTGATATGTAATGTAAACAAACATAAGTTATGATTAGATATTGAAAGTAAGAGCAATTGAAAACATGTGACTCTTATATCAATTCAATTAAATGTGTATTTAATTCAATTCATAGTCAGATGTAGTCTTCACTGCCATTGCATAAGACATCAATGTATTGACAATAAAACATTGTTTGCGACAATTGGACACAAATGAGCGACCAATTGGTGACCAAATGTGGTGACAATGTCTACGAGATGTGAAACAAATGGTAATTAAAATGCAATACAAACCAAAAGCAAGAACTGAAAGACAATCAAAACAATAGCGATATTATTATTGGTTTGACTGTAAAGTGACTGCAAATCGTTATTATAGGGAAGCGTTAGTATCTGGAGGTCTTCGTCGTCCATCACTGCCACCACTGAGTGCGGGATGTGTTCAATGTGTGGATCTGTTGGATGTGTTGAATGTAATGCACATAACAATCAATGAATACATCAAATCATATGATTATGTCTTCAATTGAGTTGTGTTTTGTGTTGCAGTTATAGTGAGTGAACGAAACGGCCAATCAGTTCACTCCAAACCTTCAGCCAATCATTTGAGCGCTTCTTTCACTTTTCAAATGCAATACTTTTTCCGCACAAAAACTTTTTGCAAACTTTTTTTATCTCATGTTAATTGCGATGAGAACTCGATATAAGTATTGTTTGTATTAATTAATAGTTAGAAATTAGAAATTTATTCATAAATATTTCAAACATTAAATATAAACACAAGTAATAAACACTAATTGATAGATAAGACATAGAAAGCGATTTCAGTATAAATATCAGTGATGTTTAACAATACATATTGTAATAGACATGACTACTGGGAAAAGCGAAATTAAATGCTAAATGAATGCCTTATTTGTTAGATTCAACGCTATTGACACGACTCTCGATAAGTTTAGTTTTGTCGTTAGAGTTGTCGATAGTGTCCTCTTTGATGCGGACGTGTTTCTTCTCGGGCGGCGGTTCCGCCACGATCTCCGGCGCATTCAGTGCTCCCACTTCTGACACGTCCTTATCCTTACGTATTTGCGATTTGAGCTCTTTGTTGGAGTCTTTGAGTGAACCGACCATTGATATCAAGTAATAGATAAACAGCACTAATAGTATTAGCAATGGGAATACAGCGCCCGGAGATGTGAGATAATCGACCACTTTATTGATGGTATCCGGGAGTTTGGATTCAACATAATTGGTCAGAATGTTATAGATTCTGTTGTAACCGCTAAAATACAAACCAATTTGAATTTGAATTTGAATTTGAATTTGAATTTATTGTTGTTTACAGACGCCGTGCACTCAACTAGGTTGATTTTCAGTGCAGACGTCCCAAAAAATACATTAAATACTTAAATAAAAAACAGTTAAAATATAAAAAACAATTTTTTAAGATTTAAAATAAAATTATTATAATTATTATTATTTCTGAGATTAAGATTTATTGAATTATAAATAGTTACTCCACTATACAATACAGTATTTCTAAAACTTTGTAGATTACTTTTAGGGAGCATTAATTCACGATTAGTGGCAGATCTAGTTCTTCGGGCGCCGGGATTATAGCTGAAGAGATTATGACATCGATTGGCATTCAATTGATGCAAACATTTGTAAATAAAAATTGATGAAAAATAGTCTCTTCTTTGTATAATTGGTATCCAATGAAGACTTCTATACAATTGATCCACACTTTCATTAGAGAATGTGATCACACGAGCGGCCCGTCTCTGGAGTCTCTCGAGTCGATCGAAATGTGTTTTGTATGCAAAACCGTAAACACATAAACAATAATCAATTTGCGGCAAAACAAGCGATTTATAAATGATATTAAGTGTATTTCGGGGTAATGTGTGCCGTAATCTTGAGATTAAATTTACCCTTTTGTTCACTTTATCACAAACGCTATTAATGTGAGTTTTGAATGACAAACCCTTATCGATGACAACTCCAAGTAATTTCATTTCATTGACACTTTCAATAGGTATACCACCGATAGATATATTCATGTCATTATCGCAACGACCGGACAATGAAATTGTCATTAATTTAGATTTTGATGCATTTAAAGTCAAATGATTTTCAATCATCCATTCATTGACTAAATTTAGAGATGAATTAACATTAGTTTCCAATTCTTGAAAATCATTTGCTGTGAAAATAATAGTCGAGTCGTCGGCATAAACCATGAGTTTTGCATTTAATGGCAGTTTTATCATATCATTAATATAAAGTGCAAACAGGAGGGGTCCGAGTAAACTGCCCTGGGGCACCCCAATGGTCACATTCCTATTATTTGAGACACTATCACCTTCTTTGACACATTGAGATCTGTTGCTAAGGTATGATTTAAACCATAAAATAGCATTTGAGTCAAAACCAGACTTAAATAACTTGTATAACAGTATCTCATGAGATATAGTGTCAAAGGCTTTGCTAATGTCTAATGATATAATACACACTTTTTTATGGTTATTAAGACCACAGTATATATCATTTAAAGCACAAATCAAGGCATCACTACATGAATGCCGAGACCTAAAGCCAAATTGTGAATCACTTAATAAATTGTTTTTCTCCACAAAATCAAACAATTGGTTGAAAACAACTTTTTCAGTGATTTTTGAAATCAAAGGCAATACAGAAATTGGTCTGTAATTTAATAAATCAGATTTAAGGCCCCCTTTGTATAGGGCTTTTACGGACGCAATTTTCCATAGGTTAGGCACAGTTTGCTGCGATAGACTTGTATTAATCAATAGTGTTATAACAGTTGTAAAAATTGTAGAAAACTTTATCATTTTAGGAGATATTTTGTCGAAACCAATAGATTTTCTATTATTTATATTATCAATGATTTTCTGGGTTTCGTTGCAATCAATTGGCTTTAATGTGAAACAACTGTTTGTATTTGGAGTTAGATTTTCAAAAACAATAGTGTTATTAAACTTTTGGCTAAGTTTTAGAGGCGTTTCAATAAAAGTGTCGTTCATTTCGTTGACATTAATTCATTGTTAATATTAATACAAATGTACAAATAATATGATTATTACCTGAATGGTCCGCAATGCCAACTCGGCTCCAACCAAACCACTGCATAGCCGACCGGTAGAGTGCATACGAATAGCATTAACAACAATAAACCGAAATAGAAATTATTACTTCGGGAGGCCTTTGAATGGAAATAAAATTGGTTAATGTTAGCAACTTTTCAATTGATAATTCAATAGAAAATACCTTAAACACGGTTTCGTGAGGTATATTGCATGTGAGGACAGCCCATGATCTCACATACATTAACAGACATAGTTTAACCGTATTCAGCGCCGGTAATCCGGGCGAAAAAAACATACCCATCCTATAAAGATTGATTGATAGATATTATATTTAATCGTAAATAGCAAACAATCAATAAAATACAAACCAAATCATTCCCTGATTGTTGACTAAATGTAATATATTTTCAGCGATTTTGAAGTCTCCATATCCGGGAAACTTCTTTTCCAGATCCCAGAAAAAACACGAGCAGTCGTTACAATACCTTTGCAATGAAATTGATATATAAAAACATAACATTTATTCAATCATTAATTACCTGACTATAAGAGCCCTCAAGAAGTCGCCGATTAATATGGAGATAACAGTGAGAACAATATCCATAACCGTTAATTTAACCAACTCTTGACCAAACATTGTCTCCCAACAGAGTTTGCGGAGTTTGTCTTTGTCCGTCTCATTCAAATTGTTGACGTCTTCTTCGGTAACATTATATTTGTGTCGATCGTTGCAGTCCTGCTCTAAACTCAATCGATACGCTTCGGGACTCATTTTCTGACTGATTGTTGTCTCCGCAGACCACGAGGTGTTGACACTAACAACGGTTCCCTTCCATTGTTCTGTAGTTGTCGTCATTGGAGTCGTTCGTCTCCGTACGGGTCGTGTCCGAGGAGTGGGTCTGTGTTGAGCTGTCGTCGTCTCCGTAGGCGTCCAAGTGTTGGAACTAATCATCCGTTCAGTTGTCGTGTAATTAACAGTACTATTGCCGTTCAAATCGATGACTAGTGTTGTAGTGGTTTCGTAGTCTTCGGACCCGTCCTCGTCCTCCCAGATATATATTTCTGTGGAAGTGATCGCTTCGGTAGTACTGTATCTAAAAAGTTGTTCAACAATAATATATTTAAATCAATTGCAATTCTATCCGACAATCTTACTCTTCAATCCCATTTCGACCTTCAATTTGATTCACTCGAAGACTTTCTCTGATTGCGGGATAAGCGTAGGGATCAACCAAAACCGATGGCGAGTGTAGAGTACTAGTTATGTCTTCAGTGTTATAATCGTAGTCTTTATGTGAGATTCGTATAAATAGAAACAATATTTGCTTTTAATTAAATATATAATAAAAATAATATACCAGTAATGCGTCCATCGGGTGCTCTCTTGAACCGAATGTGTACTTCCGTCGAAACGGCTATACTTTCCTCTAAATACTTATTGTATGTTATGTTGTACTTTATGTTAGTTAAGTCTGTTGTCTGCAAATTTATACAATTTTAATTCATTTAATTAAATATTATTGTCGTTAGTTATTAGATTTAATTGAATTACCATTGAATTTACTTTTCCAAACAATGATAACATGAGAGTATACATATTCACAAAATTCAATATCAAAATCCTGTTAAATACAAATTCATATATCACTTCAATAATTGTTTTACAATAATTAAAATATATCATTAATTAAAATTATGTATTCATTACTTTTTAGGTATAATATTAGTTTTTGTCTTAAAACTTTGAAAGAAAAATGAAGATGTTAATTGTCATATTTAAATGCTACTAAATATGTTTTATGATATGTAAAAACTCTAATCTGACATTTTATTATATCAAATTAATGTGTATTCAATTGCATATGAAAACAATTATTAAATTATATAAAAATATTAAAATATCAAAAATAATAAAATCATTTAATTGTTTTCTAACGGAAAAACACGATAAATAAATATAATGATTACTGTTATTGTTTAGTCTTAGAGTCGAGTCATTACAGAAATGTTTTAGTGATTTCTAGACTAAGGAATCGATTTCCGATTTTTGCAAACATTTACCAAAAGAAAAGATTTAATCATTTTATTGCATCTGAAGAACAGTCATGACATCCATTCATCACTGAAAGTGCAGTGAGTATTGTATTTGTGTATTGAGTGCTACTGTGCTCTCAATGTGTGTCGAGTGTAGTGTCGGTGAATTGAATGAATGGATTGATGCCATACCTGCCTAACTGCCACCGAAGAGTGACCGCTGGATGGTATGCCTCCATATTTCCAATCAAATCAAATATATTGGGGAAAACAATTCCAATGCCGGCGACGACAAGTGTCACCTCATTAGCCCTGAGCCACGAGGGGTTCTCTATGGGCTCCTGAGAGCGCTCCACAACGAGAACCACTCCATATATGGATGAGGCCAATAGCATCAAAACCCTTGCGTAGAAATATACATACGTTTGATAAACAATTTATTCGTCAAATTTTGTTTTTCAGAATTGAGATTTCAAAATACAAAAGCATTTCTCAAACATTTGAATTGAGTTTAAGGTTTAGAGTTTTAACTCACAATATGTTCGCCAATACTCTCAAAGCGATTCGTTTCCAATTTCTTTCGTCTTTTTTGCGCTCTTTCTCTTCAAGAATGGATTCTTTAAATCCCATTACAAGTGAAGCGACTTTATTATAAGCAGTTTCACTGTTGCCTATCATGTAATCCCAGCCTAACATAAATGAAAACATCTATTATGCAAAAACTTGAAAGACATATAAAAAAGTGTATGAATTTATATTAAAGAATAGAAAAGTGGAGATAAAGT